GCTAAAACTAATTATATATTGTAACAAGTTAATAATCTATGATAAAAAAGAAAAAGAAAGAAAGAAAGAAATCTTGTACACTGATGTAGAAATATTTATGACATATTCAGAAAATTTAGGAAAATACTTTATTTCAAGTAGAATAGGTTTTTCCTGATTAAACTAGCCGGTTTCCAAATCGAGATTTTATTTTGGGTAATTGACACAAAACGTCCCTACCTTTGACATGTATTGTGGAAATCGTCCTTAACCTTTCATTTCTTGGCATTTATGCCCTTACATTCAACATTTCATGCGCCGAATGTCCTTTTACCATATTTTGACGATTTTACCCTTCATTCAATTGAAACAAAAAAAGAAAAACAATTGAAAAAATTGCAACTATTGGCCCAAACTTTTTAAAAAGTGCAAATAACCCCACCAAACTTCACCTTCTTCCCATCAAATTAATTTGAGACAAAACTATTCCCACGCACAATTTTACCTCCAAACCAAATGTCGTTGTCGCCGCCTCCACCGCACCACCACCACCACCAAACACCATCACCTAATCAAATTTGTTTTTTGAAAAATCAGATGTATCATATTTATACAAAATTCATTTCAAAACCCTAATCAATTTTTTTCAACTCCATCTCCCTTTCTTTCTTCACAGACTCGCCCTTTCATCTCGTCGGTGCTGCACCCACCTTCTCTCTCTCTCTTTCTCTCTTCACAGACTCACCACGTTTCCCACATTGCCGCTACACCCACCCCCTATTCTGATACTGGAAACACCACTAATTCAACTGAGACAGGCAGCAGTGCAGATCCATTAAGATTTTCTCTTCATCTCCTTTTTTTTCTCTCCCTCAGTCTCTATTCTTCTCTCCCTCTCCCCGGTTCCGGAACCACCTTTATCGGCGGCGCAGTGGAGCAGCGTTCCTCGCTGCATGGAACTAATCTCCAGCAACGCTTCTTTCTATGCCGACTACGAAAAAGGTTGTCAAACCGTAAAAGAATTGTTGGGGTTTTGATGAAGGGTTTGTCGATGAATGATGTGGCCATGGTTGGGATTTTAACTAGGGCTTTTTATATGGATTCTCAGGATATTGAATTTGGTAATCCATGGTGGTTTGTTTATGCCGAAATTTCATGTTTCCTTTTGGATGAAAAAATAGACCGAAATTCATGTTCAAAAAAACATTCCCATGCACAATTTTACCTCCAAACCAACTGCCGCCGCCTCTACCACACCATGAACGTCGCCGGAGATAGGTTTTCCGGCAGAAAAAGGGTACACGACATTTGTTTTTGGGGCTGAATTTTCTGCTTCTTCTTGTTGATTTGTGGCTGGTGGTTGGTTGGAGATTATAGAAGGGAATAAGGCGAGGTTGATGGCGATTGGATCCGATAGTTTTGGCCGCCAGAAAGTGGTGAATCATGGCTTCAAAGTGGCGGTTAAGTTTAGTGCTGGAAAGTGTTTCATTTATGGAATCAGTTGTAGTTTTGTAGCAAATTAATTTGATGGGAAGAAGGTGAAGTTTGTGACCGTTTGTGAAATTAACCATTTGGGAAGAAGGTGAAATTTGTTGGGTTATTTGCACTTTTTAAAAAGTTTGGGCCAATAGTTGCAATTTGTTCAATTTTTTTCTTTTCTTTTCTTTTTTTGTTTCAATTGAATGGATGGTAAAATCGTCAAAATATGGTGAAAAGGACCTTTGGAGCACGAAATGTTGAAGGTAAGGGCATAAATGCCAAGAAATGAAAGGTATGGACGATTTTCACAATTCATGTCAAAGGTAGGGACGTTTTGTGCCAATTACCCATTTTATTTTGACAAACGAGGTTGTTGTGATAAAGAAGCTTATAGAAGGCTTACCAAAGTGCATCTCACCACTTTCAGACAAGTTTCAGTCCAAATATTTTCTAAAAGTTTTAGTTTCTTTCTTCAACTTTACCAGTACATTGATAATCGTATTTGAAAGTACAGATGTCAATATATAATACTGACCTGACAACCTTCAATTTAACCAGAAAAAGTCGAAGAAGCCACACTATTTTCAAACAGAGTAACCACAATTTTAAGCAAAATCAATACCAAAAAATGACAGTCATGCATATGCATCACGTTACACCATATCAATTCTAACCGAAGTATTTTTCACCAATCAGTTTCAAAAATTAAAGCCACAAACCAAATTCATGCAATGAATAAGACTCCTGCAATCAATAATACATACACATGCATCCACACATATATAAACCCCAGAAGAGTGTTATGTTAACTACATTGTATAGAAGATGTTAATTTAGAAAATTAATAGTGAACCTAGATTTATTAATTTCTATGCAATATATAGTCAAAAAAAACCATTTAAGACACATTTCTTTAATTTATCCTCATGTGGTGACACTCCCACTTTCTGTCAGAGATCTTTATTTCTTAAAATCCCAATAGCTTGCAATATTGAGGTCGTATCAGTCTTAGATTGATCTTCACATGAAAAACCTCCTCACAAAAACGGAAAACCTCCTCTCAAAATTCAACCCCACAAAAATGGGCATTTCCCACCCTTTTTCTTCCTTTACAGTCAGTCTATATTAAATAACAAATCGCAAAAGCATATGCCAAATCAAAAAGAAAAAAATAATTCAAAACAGGGCAGAAGGAACAATTAAAAAAAAAAAGCCTCATTATTTATTATCAACACTCGTACAAAAAATAGAAACTGAAAGGAAATGAAAAGCCCACAAAACCGAATTGCATCCATACCTCTGAACTAATTTAATTTTGCTTCCCCCTTTATCTCTGTATGGGATAAACCTAAATCGACAACTCGTCCGTTTGAAAGGGGTTCTTGCATGTGTTCCAGTTCCTACAGCTTCTGTGTTTTCATGGGTGCAATCGAAGTACTCCTCCCCTTCAATGATAGGATTTTGTGGTGATTTTTTTGGTTGATTTTGAGGGTATTTCAAAAATGGGATGGAGAAGGTGACGGGAATGGGGAAGGCGTGAGAAGAAATAGGAAAAGTGGTGACCAATTGCCAAGAAATGAAAAATCATCACAACCAAGGGAATTTTAATTTCACAATTTCGTAGAATAAGGGGTCACGTGAGCCAAAGTAAGAAAGTAATTCCGTAGAAATTTTGGTCTATCAAAAAGATCATAAAGTGGAAAATAGTATGATAATTTCCATCTTCTCTAGAAAACAAGGCCTTTGTATTGTTTCTAGTAGCTATCAAACCGAAGGCTAAAGTCATGCCAACTCAAATGTTATCTTACGTGACTTGTCTGGCTGCACGATAGCAAATTGTATTAAACATTGAGATTGAACTACTCTGTATAAAAAAAATCGAAACATTTATTCTAGTCTTTAAACAATTCACAAGAAAAAAAAAAACAAAAAACAATAGAAAAATGAGGGGGAATCTTTTAAGAGGAAATTATAGCCTTACAGGTTTTTAAAATACAATTTTCATAAATCCAAAATCAACTTTAATAATACATAAATCAGGTTTTAATTAATAATTTTTAAATTAATTTTTATTTAAATCAATCCTACACAATTTCAAACCCTAATTATTTTATTTTCACCCTAAATTAGAGCCTCACAGGTTTTTAAGATACAATTTTCATAAATCTAGAATCAACTTTAATAATACATAAATCAGGTTTTGATTAATGGTTTTTAAATTAATTTTTATTTAAATCAAGCCTACACAATTTCAAACCCTAATTATTTTTTCTCACATCTCTCTCGTCGACCCAGTTTCTCTCCCCTCTCTCCACCGACGTCGCCACCACCCCACCGCCACCGCCATCGCCACCATTGGCACCACCTCGCAAGCACCTAAGCCGACGATCGTACCAAAATTCATCGGCCTGAAGGCTGCAACGCGATAAATCATATCTTTCATTTGAGCGATAGCTACTGAATCGGGTTCGTCCATGGAGGATGCAATTGAGGTAGGCTGCTGGAGATTTATGTTTGATGAATTTGAATGATTATCTGATCTGGGCTTCTTGGATTTTGAAGGATTAGACCAATGATTCGACTGATGAAAATCAAGATTTTAGTACTGTAATCCATTTCGTTTTATCAGTTGACTTTCTTACCTGCTTCTCTTGTTGGGATTAGGCTTACTAGTACACGAAGAACTGGGTTGCAGTGGTTCTGTGTGTTTTGGCGTGGTGCAGTGGTTCGTGGCGGTTGTTGGGGATGTTGGTGGTGAGGTCATTTTCATTGGGGGTGGTGGTGGTTGTTGGGAGTGGTGTTGGCGGCGGCGGTGGTGGAGGTATGTTTTGTGGTGTTGACGGCGGAGATGGCGGTGGTGTTGTGTTGGTGGTGGTCACATATGATTTGTTGATTGTGACCAATAAATTGGTTGATATGTGATCAATAAAAAATAAATTGTGACCAATAAATATTGTGTGACCTACAAATTTATTAATTTGTGACCAATAAAAGTAATATGTGACCTATAATTTGATGTTTTGTAACCATAAAATAAGTTGTGTGACTTATAAATTTTTATTTGCGACCGTAAATTTTTTGAATTGTGACCAAATTGCATAAATTTGTGACATTTATATATTTATTAATAAAATAATTAATTAATTCACAAATAAATTTTAATGAAAACCTGATTTTTGAAATTTAAAACCTCTAACCTTAAATTTCAAATGGTAATACCTAAAAACTTTATTTATGTATTGTTCCCATCTTTTAAAATAGTAGAGAATGAGGTCCCCAAAGAAATTTCCCAAATCGTATGGGCCAAAATAAATTTCTGGTTTAGGCCTAGAAAAGATGGGCCAAAACAATTTGGGCCTCTGGGGTCTGAGGCCCAACGTCCTGAAAGTCGCGTTTATGAAACAGCGACTCTATCTTCTGTGTCCCACTACTCCCCGTCTTCGTCTTCTACTCTGCAACATTCAACCATCTAATTCGACCCTGCATTTCCTCAAGTACACATCCATTTTTTTTGCCTTTTGTCATATAAAATAAACGATAAAATGCAAGAAATAATAGCGTGCAGTCCTACAATTCCACTTCAATCCTACCACCGCCGTCCAAATCGGAATGCAGCCACCACTTTTTTCACCAGTAGACACCTCCTTTGTCTGGGCCGCCGCAAACTCTGCTTCGACGTTGTTTCTCTTCTTGACACTCTCTCTCCTATTCCAAGGTAACAACTTTACAGAAATACATGTGAATGCAAGTGTAAAGGCTTAATCCTGATCCATTTCTTTTACTTTTGCTTTATAGGGCTGATGATAAAGATGCTATTACCAGCTTTTGTACAGAAGATTTCGGGCTTCTACGAGAAAACTTTCTTATGACAACGCGTCGTTTGTTGTTCACCAGTTTGTTAATGTGCTCGTGTTGTTATCTTCTTCCTTCAAGGTGCTTTCCAGGTTCGCGCTTCCCCCTGCTTTCTATTGTTGTAATGTATATCCTTTTAACCTGATTTGATTTATTTATACTTGAAAGTCTGTATAATATGAAGATTCTTTGTAATTGTTGGTTAATTATGAATGTGCTTCACAGCATATGCTTTGGGGGATCCATCTGTGACAGTTGAACAAGTTACTCCTCCAGTTTTTCCTTCCGGGGCACTTTTCCCTACCGAGGTCCATTCTTATACACACCTATTTAAGTTGTTAGCTCTCGTTTTTTTGACATTTTTCTGTCTTGTTAATTGGTTTGTGTAAGTTTTTTCCCTTTAAATGGGGTATGTTAATGGCAGGTGAATTGATATGTGTCTTAATGGCAGGAAAGAATTGTCCAACTCTTTGAGAAGAATACTTATTCTGTTGTCAACATATTTGATGTAACTTTGAGGCCTCAACTTAACATCACTGGTGCAGTTGAGGTATTTTTTTGTTTCTTTCTTTTCATGCAGGAACTCTTTATTGATTTTCTTTATCTTGTGCTCGGAGCAGACTAATAATCTCTACACTTCAATTACTGGATAAGAACCACTTTCTTCTCGAAGCTATAAATAATGAAAAGACTATAAATACAGGTTCATTGTTTATACATAATAACAGGTTCCTGAAGGAAATGGTTCAGGGGTTGTCTGGGATGATCAAGGTCATATTGTGACAAACTATCATGGTATGCACTTCTGTCATAAATTAAAACAATGTCACTGCATAAAAAATAATTCCCCACATTTCCCCTCATCGAACTTTGGTTTACGACTAAATCTGTGGGTGCTCTATCATGTTAAGTAAACGATGTATTTGTTTAGGTGGAAGAATTGCACGCTATCTACAATTTGTCCAAGATCTTTTATTTGAATTTTATTATGGTCCTCGTTTTGCATAGGCTTCATGATCATTTCTGCCTGTTGATAGCAACTTGCTTGTATTTATGTGTATCTTGTTGCTTGACGCTTGTTTCTCTCTTTAACCTTTTTATCTTTTTGTTAATGTTCTAAGCATAGGGCCAGATGATCCTGTAATTTGTCTAATAAATGTTATTCACTGAAGTGATATTTTGTGTTGATTGTCTTGTCTTTGTTGACCAGTCATCGGTAATTCTCTTTCAAGAAATCCAAGCCGTGGGCAAGTTGTTGCTCGAGTTAATATTCTTGCTTCAGAAGGGTGAGGCTTACTGTTTGTTTGGTCATGTCCACCGTGTCACCTTAATCATGGTCGTTAATATTCAGTGTACTCAACATTATTCTCATCTGGTTTCATGTTGACTTTCCCTGTTTCCTTGTTGTGAAGAGTGCAAAAGAACTTTGAGGCTAAGTTGATCGGTGCAGATCGTACCAAGGATCTTGCTGTCTTGAAGGTTATTTTATTTCTCGAACATGTAAATTTTCAAATTTGACATTGTTAAAATGTAGCAGGTGTATTCATCATTCTTGGGTTGTTTATTTATCGATGCTAGGTAATGAACCTCTAGTAACATTGCATGTATGCTCGAAGAAATTCTTCTTCACATTTGAGAAGCTAAGCTTCTCCATATTGCCTATTCTTTTGCTCTTATTGGAAATGCTTACATTATGTTTTTCCTGAAGCGCTCTGTAAGATAACCTTCAACTGATTTATCAAAATAATAACAGTTTCAGCTTTCCAAATTCATAGGCATACAAAGGCTACTAGTCTTTCTGCTTGTTTTAGTAGTGTCTTTCTACTTGGCTGATACATTTACTTAAGATGCAGCCATTCGTGGAGATTTTTTTTTTTTTTTGCGTACATTAGGAGTCTGAATACTGTGATAATCGAGAATATTCTGCACCACAAATTAATTCAGAAACAAAGAACATCTACAAATCTAATCATGCATTAGATTTGTTAGACTCACGAATTTCATTTGATAACTGTATGAATGAAATATAGACTGGGAAAACTGTGATGCAAGGATGCATTAGTGTGATGGCATGTAGTATGCATCATGTTTGCTGTTTTACCTGATTATATCTTTAACATGCTAGGTCGAAGCCCCTGAAGAACTACTGAGGCCAATTAAGGTGGGTCTGTCATCTTTTCTGAAAGTGGGACAGCAATGCTTAGCGATTGGAAATCCATTTGGTTTTGATCACACACTCACTGTTGGGATCATTAGTGGATTGAATCGAGACATAAATAGTCAAACTGGAGTCACAATAGGTGGAGGAATTCAAACAGATGCTGCCATCAATCCTGGAAACAGGTTCGACTCTTATCCTGTATATCTGCCTTTATATAAAATGTCTTAGGCTTCATTATCTAAATCCCTATGATGTTTCAGTGGAGGTCCATTATTGGATTCCAAGGGAAATTTGATTGGAATAAACACTGCAATATTTACTCAGACGGGTGAGTCTTCTCCACTTCATTTATTGTAGAATACGTGTTTCAAGAATGTGTATGGAATAAAAGAACTGTACAGATCTACTCCAGATTATGAATTTAAACAGCATTACTCTTTCCTACAAATCATTTTCCGTTTTTTCTACATGACAGGAACATCAGCAGGAGTCGGGTTTGCAATCCCTTCATCAACCGTGGTAAAGATAGTTCCCCAGCTGATGCAGTTTGGAAAAGTATGCTCCTTTTAAAGTTGTTTTTCAGTTTTACTCTGCAATCATGCCATTAAATCTTCGTTTTCTTTCTTTATATATTTTTTGTTCCGAGGCCCTTAATGTTTCTTTTGTATTAAATACACAAATTCAAATTCTCTACTGCTTGTTCATCATAGACGTTTTTGCAAGTAAAATTAATATTTTAAAGTTGGGACACGTGGAATTTAATTTTCATCAAGCACTTAATTGTAACTCCCCTACGCAAGCCGCTGTTTGACAACCATTAAAACAAAACGATTTTTTTTCTCAAACTCATTTTCAACTGCACGTTCTCACAATAAAATATATTGCATGTAAGTCAAAAAAATTTCTTACTTTTTAACCACATATTCTTCAAAAAGTCACCATTCCAAAACTCATTTTAATGATTGTCAAACAGGGGCTAAATTTAAAATGCTTATGACTCCTTCCTATTCTGCTTGTGCAGATTGTTGGCCAAAAACTCAATGATTTTTTTCTTAGATTAATGATTTTCTGAAGTTTATATGCAATTTGTCACTCTCCAGGCTGTTCGAGCAGCTTTAAATGTTGAAATTGCTCCAGACCCCATTGCAAATCAACTCAATGTTCGAAATGGAGCTCTCATCTTGCAGGTATACCTCTTTGGTCTTCAACATGTCAAATATTGTACTATCCATACTAAAACTTTCTTTTGACTGCTGGTAAAATCATTAACATCTCAATTCATTTGATGCAATTTTATAGGTCCCTGGGAATAGTCTAGCTGCCAAGGCCGGGCTTCTTCCAACTACAAGGGGCTTCGCTGGCAACATTGTACTCGGGGATATTATTGTGGCAGTGGATGGCAAACCTGTGAGCTTTTTTTTATTATTATTTTTTAATTCACGTCTCCCCTTTTTCTTGTTTTATTTAACTGTATGGTATTTACTATATAGATAAGATGTGGTAATTATTGTATTAATTTTCGTTTTGCCTGCTTTATATTCGTGTTATACTTGGTAGATCTAGGTTTCGTAGCTATTAGTATTAGTTTGTACAACCGCCAATCTAGCCCAGTGCCCCACTGTCACAGATGTGTTAAGACATTTTAAGCATTGGGGTAGAGAAGTTCACTTTAAGCACAGATTTTTAGTGTCATGCCTATACAAAACACATCTCAAGGCCCGTTTGGAAGACTTTTGCTTTTACTTCTTGTAGAAGAACTTCCTAAGGAACTACCTTAGACCACATTCCTCTAAAAATTCTAACCACACAAAGCGCTTCCAAAAAATTATTCAAACATGTTCAAAAGCAGCTTCTTAGTCTCTAAAGCAGCTATTAACTTTTTGCCAAATGGACCCTCAATCCACTTTACTCGTCTAGTTGCATTACATAGTGAGCTACTACGTTCTCATTGCATTATCAGATAGATACATGTGTTGAGACATTTTAAGCATTGTGGTGGAGAAGTTGAGTTGATTATCTGTCTATTTGCTTCTCGTGTTTCTTTCACCTGCCTAAGTGGTTGATTTGTTGTCTTAAACAGACTCTCACTATGATTCTTGATCACTTAACATGGAACGAGTGATATCTGCATTAGCGACATCGACCATTATTTTTCTGTTGCAGGTAAGGAGTAGATCAGAACTTAATAAAACACTGGATGAGTACAACATTGGGGAAAAAGTGATCCTAAAAATCCAGAGGGGCGTTGAAAACTTGGAGGTCCCAATAGTTTTAGAGGAAAGATAGTAGAGTAAATTTTTCTTCAAGATGGCCAGCTAGCCAGTCAGCCATTGATGTTGACCTCAAAGAATTTCTTGTACAAAAAGGTACTAGCATGCTTTACGTGTTTCTCAAGAAACAATTCATTCTGCATAAACATGCGCCCGGGCGGGCTCCCCCAGTTTTTAAGTTCTCCCGGTATGTCTATGTATACACGGTATATTATACGTTAGTTTTAGTAAATGAGTGGCCAATTGTGACAAAATACGTTTTTAACAGACAAATTTTTTGATACTAACTCATTGCCCCCATTGAATTTAACGACTCCTGTGGTCCAAAGTACATCGATTGATGTAATTTTTTCATTTAACGCTTCACAATAATTGCAATATTTTAAAGCATGCAAACAACCAATATGATACATAAATTTTGAATATGATTGGTTTATTGGATTATTAGGCAAGTGCAATTTCCCAAATTCAGATGGTACAAGAAGTTTGTTACTTGTATGTCTCTCGAGGAATTTAACATGATGTGTAAACGCAATTACGTGTCTTTCTTCATGTGGATAATTGTGAATAGGAATTGATGTTTTATTATTAAATGTCAAAGTCATCTTGTCTTGCTTATTGCACTCCAATTGGGGGCTTAGCATGATCACGCCGAATTAAAGACTCGCACGGCAGGATTTCTACATCTTGTAGAAGGGCTTCTTGAGGAAGCTAAAAGCTATTTTAGTTAGATGAAACGCTTTTAGAAAATTATTCAAACATGTTCAAAATTAATTTTTAAGTTCTTTTTATAACTTTTCAAAAGTTCTGCCAAACAGATCCTTGGATTTGATGACAATGAGAAAGATAATTTGTTTCCAAGATCCCATCAGCATTTCATGATTAGACCTTAATGTTGTTAATTGTGTCCTTAATTTCCTTTTAATTACAAACCAATCAACTATTGAGGGTTGGCTAATCCAAATTAATCAGACAAACAATATATTATATTCTATCATACACGTACATAGAGTGAAATTGTGTGATGCCAATACTTAAAAATTTAGGCAGGATCTAATTGTCAACCTCACTAGATTCAATTTTTATGTGTCTTTTGCTCTTTGATTCCATGCCGCACAAACAATTATATCAAACTTTCACATTCATTTTGCGATTATTTTTAAATTTAATACATAATTTCCCATCTAAGTCATGATCATGGATTAACATCACTTTGTCATTGATAATTTAAAGATGAGGTTTGAATAGTGACTTAACATTTACACAATCAAGCCTTTTGGAATTAAGATGGTGAAACTTCCAAGATACACATTTTGTAAAGACAACGATAACAAGCTATGTCTGTTTGGTGTAGCTAAAAATTATAGTTTAGTAAATTTTGATAAAAAAAATAATAAAATACATTGTTGAAAAGTTGATAAAAGTTGTGAATTTCATAAAATGTGTCATTAAAATTAATTATTAACTTTGATTTAAATTTGTATCAACCTTTTAATCTACACCAAACAAGATTCACCATCTTATATGAAGAAGATTGATTGCAAAAAGCATGATGTTATCGAGATTTCTCTGAGACTTGTGTCTTTGCTTGAAGTTTGCTACAGAACAAGAATCGTCACAAGACGTCAAGAAAATTTCAATAAATAAAATTATAGCATTGAGAAAATATGAATTGTATCTATCTGCATGGTTAACAAGATAGTGTTCATACAATTATATATATTTTAAAAGACTATAAACTAATGCCATGAGACGATTGCTTTGTCTTTAGTCTTGATTGCAAAAAGATGAAAGGAGAAGCATCCAATGTAGGAGCGAGGGAATTTTGAAAAACACAGTCTCTTTCAGATCACAAATTTGGACTTCATAAAGCCAAATGGTTCACCAAAGGGAAGTAAGTTTCATTACAAGTCCATGGTCTTGACTTGAGTTCTTCGGTAAAAACTATATTAAGAGTTTCCACAGAAGCTGTGTCACCTAGAAAGAGTAGTCAGACGTTCAAAGGAAGAACCCCTTTTAGGAAACTTATATTTGGATTGAACTCTGTGTGTTTCCAAGAAACAGAAATATGGATGATAAGATTAACGACGTTATGTTGCCTGGTTTTCGGTTTCATCCCACAGACGAGGAGCTTGTTGGGTTTTACCTGAAGAGAAAACTTTTGAAACGGACTCTTCCTATTGAGCTGATTCAGCAAGTCGACATATACAAATACGATCCATGGGACCTTCCAAGTAAGACAACCTTCTTTGCCTGCACAAAGTCTAGTTTTTTTTAGTGTTTGTCTCCTGAAGTGGTCATTTTATGTGAAAAAACAAATATCTGTCCCATTCATTTTGTTCTCCTGAATTAGTACTTATTATCATTTCGCAAGCAGTGCTGGCATCTAGTGGGGAGAAGGAGTGGTACTTCTACTGTCCAAGGGATCGTAAATACAGGAACAGTACACGGCCAAACCGTGTTACAGGATCTGGATTTTGGAAAGCCACCGGAACTGACAGGCCTATATATTCGTCCAATGATACCAAATGCATTGGTTTGAAGAAGTCCCTGGTGTTCTATAGAGGAAGAGCTGCAAAAGGAATAAAAACTGACTGGATGATGCACGAATTCCGACTTCCATTGACCCCTGAAAGTGAACTACCCAAGAAGCTTTCGGACAAGAATATTCCTCCAAATGTAAGCCCATTATAATTTTAGGATTTCTAGTACTCACCATGCCCCTGAAAGTGCACTGCTATTGTGACAGATTTAATTGCAGTATTGTCTATTGGCTGCAGGATTCTTGGGCCATTTGTAGGATTTTCAAGAAGACTAATTCCATGGCACAAAGAGCTCTCACTCACTCTTGGGTAGCTTCACTATCTGAAACGTCACCAGATTCAATTACTCAAGGTGTACACTACGCTCAATTTTCTTCTGAGAATATCTCTTCAACCACAGATACAAAATCAAGCATTCAGTTATGCAGCAGAAATGAGTTACCACAAGGTTCTTCGGCTAACTTCCCCAATCTCAACTATCCATCATATAAACCAGTAATTAATAATTTATCTATTTCCGCAACCTCAAATGGGGACTTCCTCAATAACAACATGTTCTTATCTCCTGACGAAGAGTCAAGACCAATGAACAAGAGTGCACTTGATGTCACTTCCATGATTTTCAATTCTTCGCCTGCTTTAATCAGTAAAACTTTGGATAGCATCGACTTTGAAGGACCACAGCATCAGTTCAATAGCTTCCCAATCATATCATCACAAGAGATGCAAGAAAGTATAAGCATGGAAGATGATGAATGGGGCTTGAGAAGAATGGTTGCATTTCCATTCAATTTGCCATCAACTGTACCAGATGAATGGGAGTCTAATTTGCCATGGGAATCTCCCCCCTGTCCTAGTGAAATATCTACTACTTATTCTACAAACAATTGTTATACATAGTCCCATTATAAAGACAGGGTGATAGTCTTTGCCTTGTACATACTGTATTCCATTCACTACCACCGTACAGCTATTCCTGTAGACACGTGTCGTTGTAATTAATGTTTGACTTTGACTAATGAGTTAGTCAAATGGAGGCTTAATGAGTTAATGTTTCCAGGACTCCCCCTTGCTGCCTCAAATAACCGAAAAGATTGGTGCAAAAGTATCGAGTGCTGCTCTTCACAGACTTTGCGTAAGGGCTAAAAGTACACCATTCTCCTATGTTTAAACCATTTTTCATGTTCTTATGAATTTACCCTTCAGATTATTCTATAGTTAATTAAAAAACCAACTTAAACTACTTTAAAAATTATAATAGACATATTTGGATAGTATCGTTTGACATGACTTTTGCTTTGTAAAAGAACTTTTGGAAGAAGATACTTTAATTTTATTTGAAAATTAAATTTTAAAAGCACATCTTACTCTAGAAATGTTTCTATAGAAAGTCACATTGAACTAACTTCTTTCAAAAGCTCTTCTAATTAGAAGCTCTCATAAAATTGACCAAACGAATTCAAAACTGCTTTTGAGTATCAAAAGCTCCTTTTGACTTTTCAAAAATCATATCAAACGACCCTTAAAACGATGAGGGGTTTTGTACTTAATAATTGATTTTGTAAATCATCAGAAGATGGGAATGGGTCATTTGGCAAGACTTCTGTTTTTGTTTTTGTTTCTTGCAGAAGAATTTCGTAAAGAAATTATGTTAACTTCTTCTAAAAACTCTTCTAGCCGGACAAAATAAACATGTTCAAAAGCAAGCAGCTTTTGACTTCTCAAAGTCTTACCAAAAGGGTGAAGCTATATTTCCCTGAAGAGAATTCACGTAGGAATATATGGCTAATGATAGAAGCAATACATTAACAAGAATATAGCATAATGAAGATTAGACAAATTTTAGAAAATCAATTTGTAAGGTGGTGAAAATATTCTCAACAAACTAAAATTAGTAAGTCAAAGATTAATTTGTTCAATTCCACAGCCATTCCGACAGATTTTTGCTCCTATATTTCAAGATCATCATCATCAAAGACATTTTCTTAAAGTAAAATAATGGAAAACTTGGCATTGATATTTGATACTCCCGTATCAGCTCTTGGCAGCTTGCTTTTCTTTAGCCTTCTGAATCTTTAGAACCTTCTTCACAACTTTTTGCTCTTCAACTAAGAAAGCTCGAATTACCCTGGAAAATATATGTAGATTAGTAAAATCATCAGAAAGAAATAAAACATCAGCATTTTTCTCTCATACTAACAGCCTAACACAATAACATACCTCTCCCTGACAGCTCCTCCAGACAGTACACCGCCGTAGGCACGGTTTACAATCTTGCGATTCCTGGATAATCTGGACCTCTTGTATTCAGCAGGTCTCAAATGAGGAATCTGCAAGGAGATCGACAAACTGACAAATTAATGGAAAATCCCGAGGGGATTCAATGATGACGTAGGAAAATGAACCCACTAACATTTATGATTAGCGCTTGTTATAAAACATGAATGCACTTTATATGAGCCATCCAAGAAAATATGGTCACCAAAGAAGAGAAATGGCATCCAGTAATGTTAATTGACTCTTTATTTTTCTCAATAACTTTAAAACCTAAGGTGATTTCTCTATTCTACGGGGATATGAAGTTCAAACCATGCACAATTTCTTAATACATTTTCCGTAATACAAAATAGTTAACACGACATTGGGCTTAAATGGCGGGAATGACATAACAAATCATACAATCTTCACAGAAATGCACTCCATGAGAAGCTGGATACAAACTATACTTTGGTTCGTACAATTGCTTTGAGCCTCAGGGAACATAAAGATCAAATAAGAACAAGCAATGTCTTTTAGAAATGAGTGAGCAATCAAAAAGGCAGTAACTACAACAGAAAAAAGCATTATTCAAGAAAATCAATAGCACATACCATTAAAAATTTCAAAGCACCATAATGAAGTTTGCACTTTGAACAGAAAAGATTAAAATTGCAATAAACTATTCACTAAATATCAAGACAGGAATGTCCCACCCCTTTCTTCTGCAAAATATGTTCAAGCTACCAATTCTATTCTCAACCTCAAGAACAAGTATCAAATCTGCAGTAATCAAATTTCCACATGCACTATTATCCTGGAAATGGTAAAATCAAAAGGGTAGCTTGTCCGTGATCGTGAGTCCTTGATAATGCACATTAAAGACAATAGCAGTAATTCAACAGATATTCTAAAATATACACGAAAACGTCAAAAATCAGAAATAAAAAAATTCACATACCCCTTGGATTCTTTTTCCAGTAACAGGGCATTTGGGTCCGCTAGCTCTCTTCGTAGTACTCTGGTAGACCAGCTTCCCTCCTGATTTCCTCACACAAATTAAACTCATAAATAGCAACTCAACTATAATTTCCAAAATTCCAATTCGCGTAATTCTAACATAAAATTAACTATAATTTCATTATAATAAAAATAATCAAAGAAAATCGAAGGAGAATCTAAATAAAAATTCTAATTGAAATAGTTGTACATAAAATTCTTAAAAAGATTACAGGAGGGTACCTGGGGTCTTTACAATCCTGTGTTGATTGGATTTTGTGGCATAGCTATGCCTCTTCCGATACGCGAGTCTCTGCACCATTTTATTCTACTTATCGATAAGACTGAAGCAAAAGCATTTCCAGGAGTGAGAGCAGGTAATTTATACGAGATCAGCATCGTCTTTTTTAAGAGATAAAACCCTAGATCTGTCGGGTCTTTTGAGTCAAATGATTGTGCCCTGTTTGGCTTACGATCCTGTTTGGTACACATTATTTTTTTCATTCTCATTCTTCTACTCATTTTCAACCACATATTTTTCAATACTCCATCACATCAATAACTTTTCCTTCATTTTTAACCACACATTCTCCATCAATCTACTATTCAATAATACATTCTTTTAAAAGAATGTGTCTCAAACACACTCTACATTAAATTTTTCTCTCTTCATTACAACCACACATTTATCAAATAAAATAATAATAAACACAAATCTAAAACTTTTCATTATTTTTCCACCACACATTCTCCCATCAATCACTATTCCAAAAATTTTCAACTCTAAAAAATGTCAAATGATGGGGGCCAAACAGGGGCTGTATAACGAGTATGAAAATATAGCTATTTATTGTGGGAGATAGAAAATTTGAATTTAAATGTTGATGTGAGGGATAATAGTCATATTTTTTATTTTAACGAGGTAATAATGTAGATCAAACGGGGGCTAAAAAATAACCTCCTCTAAAAGTACAATCAGTCAATCCCAAATTTAAATTTTATTTTTAGACCTTTGTTTTTGAAAAAGAAAATAAATGAATTTATTCATCATCATCATAAAAAAAATTTTAAATTGGAATCTTATGCCAAATACATATGAATTGCTACCTAGATAATGGTGAATTTTGAAGGATGAGAATTTTATCATTTATTTAGCCCCAACATTGGTGTAGTTAAAATTAAATTTTTAGTAGATTATGATAAAAATTAGATTAATATGTAGTTGAAAAGTTAATAAAAATTGTTAATTTCATGAAATAATTGATTAAAATTAATTGTTAATTTTGATTTATAAAATACATGAAACGGGGTTAAATGAAATTTGTTGGGGTGATTTTTACTTTTTAGGATAAAACATGGTAATCTTGTTTCATACTTGTAAGTATATATATGTACAATTGTTGACTGAAATCAAGAATTAAGCCCCGTTTGATCTACATTATTATCTCATTAAAATGAAAAATATGACAATTATTCATCACATCAACATTTAAATTAAATTTTCTATCTCTTCTGTACGCCCCAATAACGACTATATTTTCCATTCTCATTCTACAATAATTTGGCTCAAACAGGACCTAAGTGAGCGAATAACAATAAAAAATATGAAACATCAAAACAAAATGAAAAGATAATTTTCTAGTTAAATACAAAAGTACTAACAAAAATTTCAAGATCGATAATTAGAACGATATAAGATTTCTCGAGCTAGGATAGAAATTTACTATTACCATTAACATGGGAAAAGCAAGAACGAGGGTTGCACATGTATTTTTCTGTTCGAAAAACTAATCCTAGTTAGCTTGTTACGACACCAGATCAACTGGTCTTTACTTATTCTCGACATACTTGAAACTCTCGATACCAATTTCATATCGACTTGAGCGAAAAAAAAGAGCACTTGTTCTGAATCATCATCTCTATAACGTCGGATTCTCCTCAGTATACAGTTTTCACTTCTCAAAATGTCTTTGAGCTTTCTCTCTTTCTGCATTGATCAAGAGAAAATTACTAGAAAGTTTATAATTTAAACAAGATTTATCAATTTAGTCTTATGAAGCAACCTTTTGAAGTGTCTTTCTGACTTCCATCAAAAGTTCAAGGTCTTCAGGATTGTGAAGCTCAGGTGTTTCCCTTGCACTTGACCTGGTGCAACCCCTATCAGCTCGAACAAATCGCCAAAAAATTCGTATCGACTCTTCTACAATCTCCACCAGCTTGTCAGTTGTGATAATGTATTCGTCTCTGTCTTTCTTTCTTGCCTTCTTTTCGTCTTTTAAGCTATCCACTGCAAGTAGCCAAGTTACGTAAATCAGTGCTTATAGTTTTGAGGACGAAAGAGTTCATCTTGTAAGATTATTCGGGTTGTGAATTTGATGGAAATTCACCTTTTATGACAGGAACTTGAAGAAGATTTCGAAGGACACATCGACTCTTGATGTAGTTTTTGACTCTTGGCCCTTGGAAAGGTTCGTCTTCAATAAATCTTTGCATGAGCACTTGAAACTGTTGAAATTCACCAGCAACTTCGTTATATCGATGGATTCCACGAGGATCTGAATCCCATAAATCCAAGGCCCTTTCATACTGCCAATGTAAGAATTCCCAAGAAAGACACATCTGTCCAACATATACCACTTCAAGAT